GCAAGATCAACAATGTCAACAAGTTCGATGCCTCCTTCTTCGGTGTGCACTTCAAGCAGGCGCACACTATGGACCCCATGTGCAGGATACTGCTTGAGAAGGCCTACGAAGCAGTTATTGACGCTGGTATGTCTAACAATGAACATGTTTGTGACGAAGAAACTCAAAAACTGCACAACTAATATAAAAAATACTGAAACCACTAGAAAGCTACGTTATTTGTAAAAAACATAGGCCATAAAAGATATCTATATGTATACTAATATTATAAAGAGGAAAGATTTGTTTGTTTGGAGTTTTGTATGTATTGATGTACCTCATAAACTAATAGGCTGTTTAAAAACAAAACATTCACCATTAAAATGCTAGATTGTCATAAAACATAGCCTACGTTTTTTACTATTTTTTTTAATTTCACGTGGACAAAGTCGCTAGCAAGAGCTAGTAGTTAAATATAAGTGAAATTTTAAAAATCAACTTATGTAAAGTATGGCCACGCAAAATAAAGCTCTGTCTGTACTTGTCATAAAGATGAAAATGCGTTGACGTACCTAATCCGTCAAAATATCTATACTATTATAATAAAGCGTAAACACACACTTCTTTGTTGCCTAAGATGTCAGCAATCACAGCATATTTTTGAATAATCCTTTTTTTTAATAAAAAGCCCTACATTTACGTCACGCTTTAGGCTATATATTTTCAAGCCATTAAACTTAGGGGGTAAATATTTTGGATATAAACCCTAATGTGGGAAAGAGACCATAAGTTGCTGCCAACATCAAGGAAGCAAGGTTGCCATTGTTTGTCAGCGTGATGTCATGTTGACTTTTGCCATTGATAATTTGACACATGTAGACAATAAAATAAGATTTTCATAATTTTATGCGGATGAAGCCGCAGGGGAACAGCTAGTAGTTTTATATGTAATCTAAAACGGAATTTTAGAATGTAGCAGTTCAACTGACCACGAAACGTGTTGAATTAAACTATGTTGCTATTTTCATTGTACGAATTCTCATTACAAATTCTAACACACACGATATGTAACACCTATTTTAAATGAAATTGTACAACTATAATTACACTAGCTGTTCCCATGCGGCTTCATCCGCATGAAATCAGGAAAATTTTATTTTATTGTTTACATTTGTCAAATTATCAATAGCAAATATCAAAATGACATGACATGACAAACCTTGGCAATCTTGTTTCCTTGATGTTGGCAGCATCTTATAGTCTCTTTCCCACATTAGGTTTATCCAAAATATTTACCCCTAAGTTTAATGGCGTGAAAATATATAGCTTAAAGCATGTCGTAAGTGTAGGGCTTTTTATTAAAGAAAGAATTACTCAAAAATATGCTGTAACTGCTGACATCTTAGGCAACAAAGAAGTGTGTGTTTACGCTTTATTATAATAGTATATATTAAATAATTTCTAGTTAAAACTTTAATCTAATGTAACCGCTGTACATTATACATAATAATTATCTTTAATTCGAATTACATAAATACTGAAGACTCCGAAAATCCCTTGACCTCAAGTTGTCAAATACGTGAACCGCATAATACGACCCTAACCTAATTTACCCAAATAAAAAACCGTCTTTCTATAGGAAATAACGAAACAAATTGTGCCACGGAATAAGGAAACCGAAATCATCTGAATTACAACGTCTAGTCCACCCCCACCCTGTTCAACCCCTACGTCGTAATGAGGCCAATTTATCTGAACTAGAAAGAAGAAGGCTTTCAAAAGATTAAATCCTGACTTCAGATCCAAATAGTTAGGAACATATCACTTTTTAATACATAAAAAAAATCTACATAAATAAATACAATCAAACAATAGTGTTGATAACACAAAATATTCAAGGTTTTTAAACATGTACAGTCAGATTCATAAATGTAAATAAATACAAAACATAACAAACTTGTAAACGCCTTCGATGTTAATGCACGTATCAATAGTATGGATACAAAATCCGATAAGTCCAAGTATACTTTTGAAAGCTATAGCTTTTTTAAATTACATAGTTTGCAGCTGACTGTACTTTCATATCGCATATTAAAAATAACAAAAACTTGCAATATTATATTAATTACTTAATAGCATTAAAACATTCGTAATAATAAAAATTAAACTCAGAGATGGTTAACGCTCAATTTCTGGTCACCATCTGTCTTTTGTAACACTTAAGTCGACATTCAGGGTTCCACAATTGGAATTAAAATAATCAAACCCGAGTGCCGTCTACACTAATTCTGTATTTGAATACAACTGTGAATAGGATCACTGTAAGTTAGGAATCCATTTCATAAAGTACAATTGAATCAACATCAAATTAGAAAGCGACAATTCTGCAGAACCAACCACCGTCCGAAGTGAGGCGCTCTTATCTAGAAATCCATTAAAACTTTTACACTGACAGTAATTATAAGTGGATATTGTCACAGCGAACATCCCCCAAAGCCGGGGGAATCTAAATTCCTTCATTAATGCCAACTTAATTCTGTATTCGTTGGCGTAGTCGTATTTTAATAGACGAATCTCTTGTCAGAATTATCTCGATTTTAACCAGAGATTCTCGAACCTTCCTTCCACGTCGACTTTTTTTTTTAGTTATCCTTACTGCTTCAACTTGTGAACTAAAATTCCTACCTTGAACCTTAAGGGTTCTTGTCTAATTTGAGAATCAATGGTTTAGACAATTACGACTTTAACGAGTGTTTGAGAAAAGTTAAAAGTGATTGATTCGACCAAGGTATTAGATCGAAAAGTAATAAATTTTACTGTAGGATAAAAGTTATTATAACTAAGTTTCTTGATAAGATAACAGTTAAGTTTTACATTTATTTCTAGTAATAATTCAAAGTTTGATTCATATTTTTTAGAGCGGGCGTACACCTTTGACTAAGGTATCGCACAACTGTTGTGATTGTCGATTGTTTCGCAGCCAATTCAACTGTTTAGTCGCACAACTAAACATCGAGTAGTGTTCGCGTCTCCATATAACCTCATAGGAATCAAAACCAGACTATACAGTTTTGCGATAGTTTAATCACAGGTGTACTCGCGCTTTCAATATCCCTTTCAAACATTATCTGAGTTAGTTTATATCTGTAAGGTTTATAACAATTTTTTTTGCATCTAGGTTTCAACCCCAAAGAACTTCGCAATACAAAGACCGGCGTATTTATTGGTGCCTGCTTCTCCGAATCTGAGAAAACTTGGTTTTATGAGAAAATGCAGGTCAACGGCTTTGGTGTTACTGGGTAAGACATTCTAATAATTAACCGTAATTTAACATTTCTGTTATAATAAAAGTATACAAAATGTATGCAAAAGGATTAATCTTTTTATTTCTTAAAACTGAGCTCAGTTAAAAGTTTTTATAACAAAGTCCAGGTGAAGCTCGCAGCGGTAATCTAAATAATGGAAGTTGGAACGACTTTTCTATAAGCATTGGCTATCAAATTATATTAAGTTACATTTTATTAATACCTGTTGTTTTTATTTACGTCAACATTTTTAAATATGGGTTGTTTAAAGCTAGCTTCTCCTATAGATGTTCCCGCGCTATGTTAGCTAACCGTATCTCGTACTGGTTGGGTGTGACGGGGCCCTCGTACACGGTGGACTCGGCGTGCTCCAGCTCGCTGTACGCGCTGGAGCACGCCTTCCGCGCAATCCGCGACGGCCACTGCGACGCCGCTATCGTCGGCGGATCCAACCTCTGTCTGCACCCTTATGTTTCACTACAGTTCTCCAGGTAACGTGTGAAATCCTTATTGTGTCGAAGATTATTGACTAGCTCTTCCTGTGTGGCTTTCGCGTGTTTTTAACTGTAATTTGTGAAAATTTCTATTGCAAATGTCAAAATTCAAATGCTCAAATGACTATGAAGGCCATTGACATTTGATAACGATTACCGTTTCCATGGAAAACCTGCATCTTTGATGCTATTGCTTAGTATTTGTCCCTTTCTCGCATGGTGGTTTTTTTTTTCAAATGATTTAACCTATGTTTAATAACGTGAAAAAGCGTGAATACAAATAAATATACTGTGATTTCTGACTTCCTACATAAGTAAGAAGTGTGTGTTTACGCTTCATTATATTGAGTACAGATTTCTAAGATTCCAAGTCTCTTTACTTGCTATCTTATGGTCATAAACTGCCCTTGTCCTTGCGAAGGGTCCGCTCAATATGTACTTTACATTTTCTTTATTATAGGTAGTAAACATTAACTGTTTTCTCTACTAGATTGGGAGTGCTGTCGCCTGATGGCCGCTGTAAGAGTTTCGACAACAGTGCAAACGGCTACGCGCGCTCTGAAGCGATTGTTGTATGTTTTCTACAAAAAGCAAAGGATTCCAGAAGGTAATGAATATACAAAAACTTAATATAATAATGTAAATAATTGTTTCGAATTTATTTAAGGAATTTCTAATTGTTTGATGTGGGAATTGATAACAGTGACAATGTTGCAAAAACTATATTTGTTATTTTATTTTAATTTGAAATCATGTTATATGATAAGATTGTTCTCAGAATTAGACGTTGCTGTTCATTTTATTCTAAGAAAAATAGTACAAATGTCAACACAAAACAAATGAATTTAAATCAAGATTTTATTAAGATCTACGTTTCTTATTAACTGTTTTTATTATATTCACATCAGCTTCAAATACACCATTAGAAAAAAAAATGTTGTCACCAATTTTAAAGATATTTGTCCGAACACGAGGGATACTAGATATATTTCTGACTCTGCCAGATCTCTTGTCCACACAATACACAAGAATAGTGTAAATCAAAACATCCCAAAGTCCCCTCATCAAATAAATAGAATCTGAGGTTATCCTTGCAGAGTATACGCTCAGCTCCTCCACGCGAAGACCAACTGCGACGGCTACAAGGAGCAGGGCATCACGTACCCTGCTGGCCAGATCCAGAAGCTGCTCCTCAATGAGTTCTACGAGGAGTGCTCTATACCGCCATCTTCACTTGAGTTCGTAGAAGCTCACGGCACTGGTCTGTATACCAACACTTTACGATATCTTCTAAGACTCTAAGATCTTCGACGAACTAAATCCGTGCTGCTTTTCCATTAGCAAACCCAACATTTTATCTTCCACCATTGTATAGACCAGGACAGCCGTGGAACCTAATAGTTCCTGGACATTTTTCAGAATTACTGTAAGAATTATAATTTTTAACAAGATTTTGTTTTCTGTTCTTAAGATCGCGCTTTGACTAAACTGGTAGAGGTAGACGTTTGACTAAACTATCGCACAACTGTTATGCGATTAAGGATTGTTTTGCAATGCAACTGTTTAGTTGCACAACTAAAAATCGAGTAATGTATCTCTATATACTCTCATAGGAATTAAAACAGCTAAACATTGTGCGATAGTTTAGTCAAAAGTGTGCGCTTTAAATATCAAAATAATAATACAACATCTTGATAAGTACTCGTATATTGCAATTTGTGATGTATGTTCTTCTAAAATCGTCATAGTTATGTGCAGTCTAGACTGGTCTAGATCAAATCCATTGTACAGGAACCCGTGTGGGAGACCCTGAGGAGTTGCTGGCCATCGAAGAGGTGTTCTGCACGGGCCGCTCCGAGCCGCTCATGATCGGCTCCATCAAGTCCAACCTCGGCCACAGCGAGCCCGCCTCCGGACTTTGTTCCATCGCTAAAGTTAGTAAACCATTTCTTTCACTAATGTATCTTCTTTGCTATTCCTGCACTATCTTCTTGAAATCTGTTTTTTTTTTTGATTTTACAGACTCTCCAATTTTATTATACGACTTCGTCTATATAACTCACGCGTGTCATAATTGGTACGTCGAAAATCATGAAAACATTACGAAAAATTACCAGATAATCAAAATTATTCGAGAACACGTCTAAGACTGCATTAAATATTTAAAAAATGGCACATCTTACTAATATTATAAATGTGAAGGTTTAGATAGATGGATGTTTGTTAGAGTTTGTTGCCTAAACGGCTGAATGGACCTCAATGAAATTTGTCATAGACGTAGAGGATAGAAGGGAAGAACACATAGTCTACCAACTTTTGTTTTTTTAAACTCCACACAGACAGAGTCGCGGGCGAAAGCTAGTTGATGTATAAATGTTCACAATCCTTGGTATAGATGTATACATAAGTGTCTTTATATGGTGTTTCCAGATGTGCATAGCATACAGCACCGGCTACATCCCCCCCAACTTGAACTACAAGGTGGCGCGCGAGGGCGTGGCGGCGCTGAGCGCGGGCCGCCTGCAGGTGGTGACGGAGAAGCAGCGCTGGCGGCGCGGCCTCTCCGGCATCAACAGCTTCGGCTTCGGCGGCGCCAACGCTCACGTGCTGCTCAAGAACGTCGCCAAACAGAAGGTATAAAGAAAACATTACATCACCGGCTGTACGTCCCCACTGAGTTCGGAGCCTACCCTTTACAGTGGTAGAGCCCGCTTTAACATCTTCGCACTGCAGGGCCGGCTCGCCACCACGATCATCACGACCACGATCACGTGCCGGAGGCCTAATTTAAGTCTCTTTCTCTTGCCACCCTTTTCTTATAAGGAGAGGATGGGAAGAGGAAGTGGATTTGACGGTGGAGGAGATGCATAGGAAGTGGAAATATCCTCTTTATGTGCGTCTCCTCCTCCGTTGAATAAGGTTAGGCAACGCATCTGCAATTGCGGATGTCTATGGGCAGCGGTCGCTTCGCCATTTTGGCGGATTGAGATGGCCAGTTGCTCGTTTTCCACCTTATGCTATAAAAAAACCCTAAGTTAGGGTGACTAGGACATAGTCAACCATGCTGCACTGCGGGTGGACTTCACATATATCTTTGAAATTCTCCGCCGTTATGTGCAGGTATCGCGATGTTTTCCTTCACCGTAAGAACGTCGGGTAAATTATGTACATATGAAAATTGTAAAAAGCGAAAATCACATTGGTACAGCGGGATCCATCCAAGATCTGTAGATTACAAGTCATGTGCTTAAACCCTGAGCCACCAATGCTCTTATATAGTTAGTTATTTATATTTAGATTATATTAAAGTAAGTTTGAGAGAAGGTCCAGTGGTAGAAAGTAAGGAATAAATGGTTCATGAGGCATGTCATGAGGAGGGATGAATCGCAATAAGAACATTAATTATGAGTGTGTACATCGGTAGAGGTAGACAGAGATGGATTGCATGAAAGGATGATCAAGAAGAGACTGAGAAGACGTATAATAGAGTTATTAACGAAAACCCGGAGTAGGATAAGGAAGAAGATGTCTTAGGTACTAGTACAATAAAACCAATACACTTGAAGGTGAACAATGGTCTGCCTTGCGACGACTTGCCGCGGCTGGTGTGTGTGTCGGGGCGCACGGAGGCGGCGGCGGCGCGGCTGCTGGACGAGCTGCAGTCCCGCAG